CCTTCAATCTGAAAAGCGAACTTGCCACTACAGCAGTTGTTCCCAGCGTATTACACCTTTAGGACCTGCAGCCCCTGCCTGCACACACACTCCTTTTCCCTATACCAATCTGCAAGGACCCCTAGACGGAGTCTCCTTTACCTGGCAACAGGACACTTGCCAGTGTGTCTCAAGGCGGCAGCACCCCCGCTCTCTACCTTATTATGGTCTGCAGAGAAGCTGGCCATCTTCACACACACATTGCCACACTGGCCCATGCGCTGATGGCTGTGTGGGCTGGATGAGACAGGCAGGAAGTAGCAGAGCTCTAGCTGTCTCTGTGAGATACGTGCAGGGCAGAGCGTGAGGGACAGACCCTGCAGAACTAGGGTCTCACACCCCACAACAGCCTGAAACACTGGAGAGACCCCTCCAACGGGAACTTCAAGTTGCCACTCCACGCTCCACCTGCCACTGCGACCACCAGGCAGGTGTTCTGGAGGCAACATGTGTCACGTGTGCACGCGCTGCTCTGACATGAGTACCGAGTGACACTAAAGCTGTTTTCAGAGAGGCCCAGGGCAAGATCAGGCATGCGGAAGTCCAGGCTGCTCTTCTGTGTGGCCTTGGGACCCAGCAAGCTTGATATTATGGATGCTGTAGGAAGCCTCCACCGAAAGGAAATTTACAGAGCAGACACCGAGGGCTTTGAGGGAAGATTAACCCCAAAACAACCATGCCTTCTCCTGCAGATAATGACTTTCCTGCTGGGAAGCAGTTCCTGGCTGCCTGAAGCAGGCCATTGTAGAGACTGAACAGGATAGCCAGGAGACGTGAGGACCATGCAACCTGAGCTCCCCATCACAAGCAGGGTACTACCTGGTCCCTAAAGCCGAATGCTGAGCATGCAGTGACACTCTCTCGCCAGGCAGAGACGGGGCTCGTCCAGGCCTGTGAAGTACACGGACGCTGCACAGGTAGATGATGCGGCTGCTCTGACATTCATGCCCCCCCCCCCGTCTCAATCCACACCCGGTCTCAGTGGGGTGTCTCAGGGGGCCCCTGCTGCACTGCACCGTGTGGCTCTTGAGGACAGTGGGGCTTACATTCCCCAGCAGGCAGGCCCCTTCCAGTTGGACATTTGATTTCCACTTTATCAGGACTGAGATGGCCAGGACAGATCTATACGTATCCCCAGATTCCAGTATTATACCGACGGAACCTCATGGAACCCAAGTTCAGGGAGTCCCGCCAGCCCCTCAAGAGACCGAAGATGGAAATAGAAAAGCCAAGCCCAAGACTCCTCTTCCTCCCCCCTTCCGGCACACAGCCTTCCATTCTGCTCTCCTCTGCATGGGCTCTGTTCTACTCCTGTCTGCACACACTCTTCCAGCTTCCCCGCAAGTGGCTGGCCTTGCTCCCCAGACCAGTTACGGCTCTGATGACATCATACCCACAGGATAACGTGGTCATTCTGAGTACTGTTCTGCAGCTTACTTTTTTCCTAATAAATGAATCTACTCCTGACAAACATTTGCTCCATTCTTAATGGCTATGCAGTATTCTATTATATGCCTATGCGAGGAGTTATTTAACTAGTCTCAGGTTGTTTTGGGTACGCGGCTATTTTTTGTTTGCTTTTTTAGCTCTTGAGGGTGTGCCAATGGCTATTACTGGAGTCTGTGTCTAGAAAATACTCAAATCACCCCTTTTCAAATACATCTTTTACTCTGTCTTAACCAAGGCCAAACAACTTTCTCCCCCTCTTTCCATGGTAATGCATCTCAGCTCCTCTCAAACTTAAGAGCCTCCGAGGATAAATAGCTTCCGGAGATGATGCTCACAGCTCCTGTTAATTAGGGAAGTGATATTTACTGGATCAGTGACCTTGGACATCCGTAAGGCATCACATTTTTCATGTATTACTCATTTGACTTTCTTTAGCGTTTAGCCAAAATGAGTAACACATGGAAAGCCGGGTAAAAGTCAAATCAGCTGTTACTTACTATTTTTTGAGAATCTTGTTCTGTTGAGTCTCACTCTGTCACCCAGGCTGGAGCGCAGTGGCACAATCTCAGCTTCCCACAACCCCCGCCTCCTGGGTTCAAGTGATCCTCCCACCTCAGCCTCCCGAGTAGCTGAGACTATAGGCACACACCACCACATCTGGCTAATTTTTGTATTTTTAGTAGAGAAGGGTTTCACCAAGTTAGCCAGGCTGGTCTTGAACTCCTAACCTCAAGTGATCTGCCCTCCTCGGCCTCCCAAAGTGCTGGGATTACAGGTGTGAGCCACCGTGCCCGGCCTACTGTCACTTATTTTTATGTTGGTAGAAATGCCAGTGGTCAGAATATCTGGTATTTTAAAAAGTAAGCCTTCTGGGGATGGGGGTGAGGCTGAAATGGGTTGAGCCAGTAGTTCCTCTATTTTGGGAATTCTGAACTTCTGGTTATTTTGTTATTGAAACAGGTAGTCACAGTTCTCAAGACCACATCTCTGAAAACGACCGCCTACCATTTTCCCTACTATAATGTTGTATTTGGATGCTTCCCTCTTTGTGTCAAAGAATCAGAGAATCTTAGGGTTTTCAAAGTGACTCTGAAGGTCACCTGGTCCAAAGTGAACTCTTTAGCAAAGACAACGGATATAAAGCCAATCTGCGAAAATCAACTGTATTTCCACATGTTAACAAGAAACAATTGGAATGAGAAATTACCCAAAAGCAAAATCATCTTTGGTCATCCAGGCACAGAACACAGGTAAGGGGCTCCAGGAGCCTGGGGAGCACTCTGAGGATGCAGATGTGGGGCGTGGGAACAGAAGCAGGCCACACTGGGAGTCCCTGGGGAGGTCTGAAGGACCTGGTGGAGCAGGAAGGGCCTGGGAGGATCCCCTACTGCAGGGCTGTGGGAGGGGTCAGATACGCTCCGGGGTGCCTTTCGGCTGGAGCCCCCGAGGACTCAGGCTGAGGCTGCCCTTCCAGGGCCCTTGATGGATGTCTTCCCTGCCCTGCTCTTCCTCTGATCCCTTCATACCTCCTGGGAGTGCATCTTCATAAACCACTTGCCCATACATTCTTGGCTTAGCATTAACCTCTGAGGAACCCGACTGAGGACAATCTTACTTGGAAAATATATATATAGAAATCATATACTAAATGTATATGCACAGACGTGTGTAGACACACATTTGATTACATTGAATATAGTTTCATCACCGTATTGAGTGCATTGTTTGGGACTTTTTTTTTTCCATTTATTTATTTTATTGCATTTTAGGTTTTGGGGTACATGTGAAGAACATGCAAGATTGTTGCATAGGTACACACGTGG